TGTTTAAGAGAACGTAAAAAAGACATGGGTGTAATATCATCTTGTGTTTTAGAGAAAGTCAAAAAGACATGGGTGTAACATCGTTTCGTGTTTTAGAGAACGTCAAAAAGACATGGTGTAACATCGTCTTGTGCTTTAGAGAACGTCAAAAAGACATGGGTGTAACATCGTCTTGCACGTCAGTTTACATGGCCCTTCGAGTGTTGGTAACTGGATGTGTATCCGCGTGATCAGACGCGGTTAATTAATATCGTATAGCTGGAAACAATGTCCATGGTGTTGCCTTAGGCAGAAAACAATCACCAGGGTGAACAGAGAGGTCTCTCTTTATAATGGACAAGACAAGACCAAGTTCGACTGGAAAGGTTCGCACCATTTAATGTCAGATCAATGTATGCAGAGTGTCAGAGTTTACACTTATTGCACAAGGACAATGTGTCAAGATCAGGGTAGGAACGGGTGGCCAGGTTCGTTGATTGCACGTCATCGTATCCTAATTTCGTAGACAGATGCTGATGATATCAATCACTGGAATGTCTGCTCCAGACGCGATTATTTACAGATTGCCGTTTTGTAGCTGGACTATTGCTGAGAGCGGTGTTAAATAACAAACCAAATCGTGGTCCGCTTTTAACATGCGTGTTATTGGTTGACATGTTAACACCTCATGGAGTTTCCACATTTGTATATCATCGGCTCATGTGCATTTTCTGTGTAGGATGTCGGGCTTATAAATCAGGGACTGTGTATTATCCGCTTGACGCATCAATGTATTCATGTATTCGGACGAAAATGAAATGGTATATTTACATCTTTATTGAAACACCATCTCCACGTGTCTGAGAACTTGGAATGCCATGTCTCCAGATTGATTTAATCCTCTTATCTCAATTATTAAGCAATCGACGTACATTAATCTTTGATATGTGAGCTATTTATGAATGCTATTTATCAAACACTTCAGAATATTAGATTGGTGCCTTTGATAAATCACCGCGACGTCATAGAAATATGCGTCAGAATACACCAATAAAATGCTCCTCAATACCATACCAATAAAATATACCGTAATAAGTTGCGCGTGCTATCATTTGCAACATTACATATAGACATGTTAATCTATGCATAGACAGAATGTTCATGTCCAGACAGCTTCTGTGGAGGGCTGGAGTGTTATGTTTATAATATTTTCATTTACATGGCTCATTTTTCATTATGTCAGTATGATTTATTAAAAACGTACGTGATTAACTTATGAGATACTACACGTTGACGTGATGCTTCTGAAAGATGTATGTTATGAAGTTATTGATAAGCATAACAGTTACCGAATGAACGCGCCTTCCCCTTCCCCGTTATGACAACTGACGTCTTCTGTGACACAGGGGCGGATGACGCAGTGTGAGGCAGTAGACTATGTGCTAGAGAACTGATGTAACATGCTAACATGGCTGTGGGTGATATCGAATGTTGACACGTATCATACAAATATACATACTCACCCATACAGATATACATACTCTCCCATACAGATTACTCACCCATACAGATATACATACTCACCCATACAGATATCTGGTGAAACAGACGCAAATTTCAACACCGTAAGATTACACACGGACAAGGGCGCCATCACTAACATAACCGCAACCGCAAGACTGACACTTATACATAACCTGCTCAATACTGACGCATACATTACCAGATCAAGGCCAACACTACCAAACTACCAAGACATACTTCAGCAAAACCAGATCAACACCGAAACTACTACACCAGAGCAAGACCTACACTTTACCAACACCAGATCAAGACCTACACTTTACCATCACCAGATCAAGACCTACACTTTACCAACACCAGAGCAAGACCTACACTTTACCAACACCAGATCAAGACCTACACTTTACCAACACCAGAGCCAGACCTACACTTTACCATCACCAGAGCCAGACCTACACTTTACCAACACCTACACTTTACCAACACCAGATCAAGACCTACACTTTACCATCACCAGAGCCAGACCTACACTTTACCATCACCAGAGCAAGACCTACACTTTACCAACACCAGAGCAAGACCTACACTTTACCAACACCAGAGCCAGACCTACACTTTACCATCACCAGAGGAAGACCTACACTTTACCAACACCAGATCAACACCTACACTTTACCAACACCAGATCAACACCTACACTTTACCATCACCAGATCAAGACCTACACTTTACCATCACCAGATCAAGACCTACACTTTACCAACGAGAGATCAAGACCTACACTTTACCAACATCAGAGCAAGACCTACACTTTACCAACACCTACACTTTACCAACACCAGATCAACACCTACACTTTACCAACACCAGATCAAGACCTACACTTTACCAACACCAGAGGAAGACCTACACTTTACCAACACCAGATCAAGACCTACACTTTACCAACAACAGAGGAAGACCTACCCTTTACCAACACCAGATCAAGACCTACACTTTACTAACACCAGAGCAAGACCTACCCTTTACCAACACCAGATCAAGACCTACACTTTACCAACACCAGATCAAGACCTACACTTTACCAACACCAGAGCAAGACCTACACTTTACCATCACCAGATCAAGACCTACACTTTACCATCACCAGATCAAGACCTACACTTTACCATCACCAGAGCAAGACCTACACTTTACCAACACCTACACTTTACCAACACCAGATCAACACCTACACTTTACCATCACCAGAGCCAGACCTACACTTTACCAACACCAGAGCAAGATCTACACTTTACCAACACCAGATCAACACCTACACTTTACCAACACCAGATCAAGACCTACACTTTACCAACACCAGAGCAAGACCTACACTTTACCAACACCAGAGCAAGACCTACACTTTACCATCACCAGAGCAAGACCTACACTTTACCAACACCAGATCAACACCTACACTTTACCATCACCAGAGCAAGACCTACACTTTGCCAACACCAGATCAAGACCTACACTTGACCATCACCAGATCAAGACCTACACTTTACCTACACCAGATCAAGACCTACACTTTACCAACACCAGATCAAGACCTACACTTTACCATCACCAGATCAAGACCTACACTTTACCAACACCAGATCAAGACCTACACTTTACCAACCCCAGATCAAGACCTACACTTGACCATCACAAGAGCAAGACCTACACTTTCCCAACACCAGATCAAGACCTACACTTTTCAACAGATATTTCAGGACAACACATACACCCTGAAACGTATAGTGTGTTTCTATACACTTCTTGTTAGAAAATGAAAAGGGGCCTTTTTTCTTGAAGACATTTTTACCTGGGCACATTTAGGACTTTTGTACCGGTACTTATTTACCGAGGACTTTTTTACCCAACACCCGTGAAACACCCCTTCCCTATATAATTAAAACGTTCCTGTCCCAATTCGGGTGGTTACCGTGTATTACCAGGATTGTCGAGTATTATTATCATACACTACGGCCAACAGTCACTGGTATGTCTGGCCCAGACTCGATAATGCACAACACTGGGATTCACATTGCTAAACAAGTATACTCATGAATGATCGATTTTACCAAGAAATTACAAACGTTCTCAGAACGTTACTGGACTGAAACCAGTCGCCGAAATACTGCAGACACATGTTCCAACAAAACAACCATGATATACGTATCATTTAAATTATTTCTGATTTGATCCATCAAATACGGGAGCATACATTCCTCTGTCAAACCGTTATGTTGTAGAGTTACTGAGCGAAGCCTCGAACAACATTAACTCACAAGCCAGATCTGATCATTGAAATGCGCGATAAAACCCGATGCCGTTAGATTAACTCCGTGTGTTTAAGTGTGGAACCTTTGGTAAAGAAAGACAACCAGATCAATATGAAGTCAGACAAAACTAAATAACTTATGATGCCAATTGTCTTTCCCAACATAAGTCTGTAAATGAGTTGAGAACGTCATGGTGTACCAGAACAAACATCGCTCACCCAAGTAACACGCGTTACGCAAAGAATAACACTAATTGTGTAATGAATTAATCATAGCTACAAAATTACTTCCTGAGATAGTGGAGATACGGCGTCTTGCACGAAGACATATGGAGTTATATGACCAGGGTTGGGGCCTTTGTATTGCCTCTGCTAGCCCTGATACTGGATATGACCTGGACTGAGGAACAATATCATCAAGCGTCACGTAAGACACACTGGACCGTGGCAGACTAGGGTTCGGTCAGTTCCGCCATGCTAACGTCTTACCGATATTCAATAGAAACAGTCGAGTTGTGTAAATGGCAGACAGACGTGATTCAGACAGTATAATAATACACCCGTAAATATATTCCATAAACTTTGGTCTACGAGAGAACCAGGACACAACAGAAAATGGAAAGGATACAATGATTTAGTGAGAATAAATACCACAGATGGTAATCCCTACGGCTTGACTGATCAACAAAATACTCGAGTTATCAACAAGATATCTATAGCCACATCGTATAGCACCACTTTGTCATCCAGATTAGTACACGTATACTAATCTAAGTACACGTGTACTAATCTAGACGAAATGTTTAGCATTCACACATTCTGATATTTTTTGGACGATTATGCGCCCAACTCCATTCTTACAATGTTTCCGAAAAGTAAAATATACACCAGACAAAAACCAGTCTCGATTATTCGACAAGACTGATTCCATTGACTAATAGCGATGGGACTTCATGATGACACCAGGTGTTTGAATAAAGGCTTAGCATGCTCTACCGGTGTCATCTACCACTTATACAATTTGTATGAGGACGTATGTGTTTGGCGCCTGACAGCAGTCCTGCTATACCATGACTTCTCACAAGAAAAGTATCAATGTTTAGGGAAACAGACCTTCCGATGATAAATCAAAATATTGTGCGTCACTTGATTTCAGGATCTGCAGTTGATCATAACCAGAACTCACCTTGTCAACATCCACAGTCGGTGTCAACATCAACAGGCAGTGTCAACATCCACAGGCAGTGTCAATATCCACAGACAGTGTCAACATCCACAGTCAGTGTCAACAGTCAGCAGTCAACTGATCATCAGCCTCAGACACACCCGTCACACGGTGCTTCCATCCTCCCCGACTGACACTTCCCTACATCATTACTGGTGCTACACAAGGCGAGACCGAATGTCACCGCCCTACAATGGTAAACACACAATGCCAGGTAGATCCATTGATTCCTGGGTATTCACAGATGCGCGTTGTTGTGTAGTCGTCAAGTCGGCGTAAATAGTCCATACCCTATAGACGGACATTCGATATGAGAAGTGTCTCCGATAGTTCTCCCCAGAGCCCGAGTTAAATAGACATTGTCTCTCAGCAGCTCTATTCTGTGTGTAATAGCATGCCTGCTTGTCATTTTGAATTTGAAAATTTAAACCTGGATCCGATGGAGAATGGGGAACATGTGCATGTTGTAGTACACTGACATAAGTACGGTCATTACGTCTATATCTACATAGCACATTGGGTTGTATACTCCGCAAGGTGCTGATTGCCTGCACACTGATTCATTGACTTTGATATTAATATCACGTTGAGCAATACTCCAGCAATATCGAGGCGGGGGACACCAATGGGCTTCACATATTGTACCCATGTGGGGAATCGAACCTGACAATTCGATTTAACGAGCGATTAATGTTACTATACCATTCCACTTTGTAACGTGTACAGACAGACGGGCCTAATCGTTACATATTACATAACCATGTTATATTGGCAGGTGTCGAGTATTCCATTCCCGGAAAGTAACACTTGGAACTGACAGTCTTTGCGAGAGTGCAGCGGAAAAATTGATTATGTTTGTATGATCTAATTTACAATGACCAAAGACATTGTTTGTTTTCTGGACCCCGCATGTTATTAAGTATCAGCGCACACTTTACACTGTCGGTACTGAATGGAATATCTGGGGTCGAATGCTCAGTAAACCCTGAAAGACAAAGGTTGCCTGGATCGATCTGCACACAGGTCAGCTTCCCATCCCATATTACATTCAGATGGTGCGTTACACATCTTCCACGTTAAAAACGACAAAGCGAGGTACGTAGGCAAGAATCTGTTAATCTGTTAAATTGAGCCTATGTAATTACTCTAACCAGATTCACTTGGGTAATAAGGTGTGGTTTATATCTGTCTATCTGTCTGTATTCGTCACAACAGATGTTTGTTGTACGAATGTCGACTCAAATATACTAAAGGTGGTCGGAGCTTAAAAACAGTTTCCTTATTAAAGCGGCTAGTTTACTGTCATGTTAATATTTCAAATCCCACAACAGGGAAATTGTGTCCGAATTTAATGTGCAAATCCGTAACCTATTAATGAACCATATTAACGAACAGCACAGTAGAATGCATCACCTGTTTCTAGGGACTTACCTTGGTCCACGAAAGTTCGACCCCAGGATCGGGGTATTAGGAAAGAATCTGGAGAATCCAGGTAGGAGACTTGCATGCACTCCTTGATGTCTAACACGTTACTATAATAATGCTATATCACTGCACGTTCTCAGAGGCCCTATCATAGATGTAGATTTCAATGTGAGCTTGAAGAAAATCAATCAGGGACACACGGGACTTTCTCACAATAGATACGCCAGCTATATGTAACACGCAATGAAATATTTTCATTACTTTATATTTAATACAAGCAGCATCCTATTTGAATCGTCATGTAATTTACATTATACGTGCGTCTAATCACGATTTGGATGCCTGTAAGACTCAATAGTGTCTACACAGAACCTAGCTGTCCTTAAATTATCAAAAACAACGCCTGTCATATTGCGATGTATATGCAATTGCGTTACAGATTGTTTACGAATGCATCTCTAGGTCCGTTATTCAAGGAAGGTATTTAGGCTATCAACACAGAAGACACGTGTTCGCTGATTACGTTATTAATGCCCCACAGCAGGAGGTTTCAATTAGACCCGCCGCGGAGTTTATGTACTGAGACAGGAACAGAGGTTACCTTGACATAAGGATGACAGTACCTCAGACAGATATGTCACTCAGTGTACGAGTGTCGATATCAGATGTGAGTCAGGTGACATGGTGGTGGGTCAAGCATTTGGGTTCTAAATGACAGGAAGAAAGTGCTCCATCCAAATTGAATACAGGAGCGATGATTGACACAAGGACAACTTAAGAAATTATATCATTTAAACAGTAAATTCATTCAAAACACGTATTTACAGCAAGTTTCTTTCCGAGTTACACTCATCTATCATCGGAAGACTCTACATGTTCAAAATGTTTTCGTAGAACTTGAATATCAGTACCAGTAAGAGACATAAGCTGTATAACATTGTTTCACTCTCCGGCTCAGCTTAATAAATCACATAAAACATCTCTGCACGTCGTCATATACCAAAACCCATGGGGTGATGGACGTATTGTCAGTATTTCCACTTTTGATATCTTGATAAATATTATGTTAATTCAGCTGGATGGTTGTAATCACATTTGATGGCCTGTACACGCCTGGACGATGTAATAGTACGATGTAAACCTAAGCTGCATAGAATCACGGACCCTTTCAACCTTAGGCAAGCTATGCTTCATACTGATTGCAAAGGTTTAATGAACTTTGAAGTTTCTAAGTTGCAGTATTAACTACCGTGATTCCTGAATACTGATATAGAATAACATGGTAACTCCCGCGAGATACTGTTGTATTTTTAACGACTATGAAACATAACGGTATACTTTAGCTTATACCTTAGTGGATAATACTCACCAAACGAGTTATACAACTGCAGAGTAGCGGGTGTTTTCGTTCCTATGAATTTAATATAATCCAAGGTCAACGTATTTAGACTTCAAAGATTTACCTAAACCGTCATAAATTACCACCCCGCTATTTCAACTAATACCTCTCACTTGACACACGTGTAGATGACAATGGCAAAACAAACCCTATCTTCCTAAAGCAAACACCTGACAGTTTCATTATCATGACCTTATTGATAATGGCCTATAACGTGTCTCACTAAAAGACACGTAACACACGGCCGAAAATGGAACCGTATTGTATTCAAAGAAGGGAGGTAACCGCTGGAGTCTGACTGAGGTGTTTCATTACAAGTTATACTCATGTTTTACAGAAGTAATGTAAACAGCGACATGGAACCATTGATTCCAACAGAAATCGATCAATTTGCGAGCCTGGCTTTTCCTGCCGACCAAATGAATGGCTTGGTTGTTATCTGGAATAAATATTACTCCAACCTTTATTGCAGTGATGTGTCTTGTACGGCAAACAGAAGGGCGAAGTGTCCTTAGTGGCACGAATCAAAAGGTTTGACAAGGGACGGATCAAACATTCCACGGTATTCAGGTATTGAGCAACCGCCCCATAGAATAGGTGTCGAAGAGGAATGGGGTGAAGTGTTAACATAGACGTCTCAGGTCGCCCTCTGTTTAATGGTGGATATTGGCAAATCTTGTACTATAACGTTTTTTCGCTTGGCAGTTCTTGTTGACCTTGAGCGTGACTAGGCTGGGATTCAGGTCGGGACGGCACCCTCGAGAACACAGCAGATACTATTTGGACACAGTCCACATACAGACATTTTATCTTGTTTGGGTTCTTAACTTAAAAGTGCATTTTGTTAGAAATTAGAATACAAAGTCTGAAGGGTGGGAGGGTGAGAGCTCCGTTGACTGTATATCTCTTAACCGGCCCTTGAAACGCCTTCTGATGTATAACGCTTTGATGAACGCCTCAGAATATCTCGCTTATCTACGGAAACGTGTTCAATAGGGCGTAAATGGTGAAAATAACACAACTGGATCACTAAAACTCAGTAATGACAGCTATGTTCGCTTCACGAAAAGGCAAGTCAGCATTAAACATATCCGAATTAGATATAATATAAAATGCGTTCAAACTAGTTGAAACACTTGAAATTGGGTTCACACCAAAGCGCATAATAAAATCGTTTCTAACCAAAACATGTATCTTAATCTATATGCAACCGTGGAGATCCTGGTTAGAATTGATCTTCGAAAAACTTAACTCACACGCTCACCGTATGTGCCATAAATATCGTTTCACGAAATTTGTGCGTGTAGACTAATCTGTCTCACAGTCCCTGAACCCATTGTTTTCCCCACTGCCTAGCCCTCCCTGCAATGCTGAAGCCCTAATTGAAACAAGTCTAGATTTCCTCAGGTCCAGTGAATCCTCCATCTTACTGGGGCTCCTTTTCATTATAAATGGGGAATATTTGTCACTTTAAAAATTATATACATTAAGAGAGTAAGCGTTACTCTACGTGTCTCTCAGCCATGTCCCAGTTTCATATGACGGGGGACTATACATAATCGAGTTTGGACCAGACAATCCAGTGACTGACATTGTGACTAACGATCCACGCCGTCTTATTCAATAAGAAGATAGTTAATAGATGCAAGTTTAGCTGTCTGTTGTTTTACGAAGGGACATCACTAGTCCAGCTAATTCACAACTGCCGACACATACAAATAACCTTGGCGAGACATCCTGTCCATAAAGTCACACTCTTCAACACACTTCATCACCGGACCCTCCAAAAGCGCATCACAATAAACATTTTAACTGCAACTGAAATTGCACATTCCCTGTGTTTCACATGGCTGCATGGCGGGAAGGCTTGATCTTCCTGCTGCTGTCAACCAGCAGTTTACCAGACCCAGACAACCTTGATTAGCTGGAATATAACCTCTTGAATCTGCAGGCACACACTCACTTTAAAGTACATTAACAATCGAATGTGAGTCCTCCTCCTATCATATTTACTGCCCCTCGGGTTATGAGAGGCCAGATCTACAGTCCAGATTAATTAAGACCAAGTGGCCCTTCAGGAGCGCCTTGAGCAAACACCCACTTCCTACCCGCCTGTGGGAGGACGGCAAGTTCCAGCTGATGTTCAGGCTCCAACAATCTGTCGCAGAGATAGGGACATACCTAAATGCCATTGCTCGAGCTACCTGTGTGTGGTTTTACATATCTTCTTATAAATAATTCATGTTTATGTAATTTAAGAATGTTGATTTATGTACATAAAGGTCTGGGAGCAATGTTGTCTGGGTGTAAATATAGTTCTGTAATCTGTATGACACTGAATCAGCATAAGGAATACATTTTGTGCGATCTCTCTGTGTTTCACTCTCTTTCTTTCCCCTTCCTTGCCCTTCTCACACATAAAACACACACAC